TCACGTCCGGGGAGGCCTGGTGGCTTGTGGTCTGGCTGCTGGCAGAGGCCAGGAGTAGCTGCGGAGTAGGCAGGGTGGAAAGAAGCGAGGCCCACTCCAGACTGCGGGTCTCAGACAGTCCAACCCCCACACACAGACTTTCTGGCTGAGCGGGACCATTCCAGCCCCACCCTGCCAGCTTTCCCTGGAAGCAGAGAACAGAACTTTGACCCCTGCTAACGGCCTGAGGGCAGGCTTACCCAACCCAGCTCTGCCCAGAACAAGAGCTGTTACAGGACATAAATCAACAGTATAGCTGTCCTCCAAGCAAACGCCACCTACTGACAGGGACGGCATCTTGCACAGTCTTTCCATGGCACCCACTGATTCAATATACAGGGAGTGGTCCAATTTAACCCACAGACAACACCTAACACCTCAGAAACTAAACAAGGTGTGTGAATACCCAAACAATACCTAAAAAAGAACACAACTGATCGACATGGAAGAAATCAGCGAAAGAACTCAGGAAATATGAAGAACCAAACGGAAAACACACCCCAAAGAGGCACCAGCCCCTTAGAAAGGACACCAACCAAATCAGGCAATCAATATGACGAAGAGGAATTTCGTATGTGGATCATAAGAACACTCACCCAGATGCAACAACAACTCAATAACCAACACAAAAAAAACACAAAAAGGCTCCAGGATGTGGGAAAAGAAATAGACACAATGAAGAAAAGTGTAACCGAACTCCTGGAAATGAAGAATCAATTCAAGGAAATACAAAATACAGTGGAAAGTCTCAAGAACAGGGTAGATGAAACAGAAGAAAGAATCTCAGAGCTTGAAGATAACACCCTCCAATTAAATCAATCAGTCACAGAAATAGAGCAGAGAAACAAGAGAAAAGAGCAAGCCTACAGAGCTGTGGGATTATGTGAAGAAACCTAATGTGAGGGTCATAGGTACAAGAAGGGAAGAAGACAAACTCAGGGTTGGACAAGCTGTTTGAAGATATAATAGAGGAAAATTTCCCAGGCCTTGCTCAAAACCTTGATATACAAGTTCAAGAGGCTCAGAGGACCCCTGGGAGAGTCAATGCAAACAGGAAGAGGTCACGACATGCAGTCATCAAACTGACCAAAGTATCAACTAAAGAGGCCCTTCTAAGACTGTAAG